GCCGGTGCCCAGCTTGGGTCCCCACGGGCCCACAGGTCATAGGGTTGCTCCCTGGCTGGGAGCCCTCCAGCAAGCCAGCTTCTCCTCCAGACAGCCCCAAATCCTGCTTACCCAGCCGTGGGTCCCCTGTTTAACAAAAGGCAAGCAGAGACCCGGCTGGAGAGAAGGCGAGCTTCCCTGGGCGAATTCGTCCTTTTTCTCCCGGATGGGGCGGGCCGAGTGGCCCGGTAGGCAAAGAAAGGCTGATGGAGGCGACAGGGGCTGACTGCCCGCAGGTGCTTCTCTTTGTGTCCGGTTCCCCAGTCGGAGGTAATCCACCGGAGCCTTGCGTGGGGAGGAGGTTTGCGCAGCGAAGCCATTTGCTCCGGTCCCAGCCCAAACGATTCCTTTTCCTCTGGGGTCTGTGCCAAAACAGTTTCCAGTCCGTGGTGACCCCAGCGCCCCCCACAGCCCTCTCCTGAGCACACTTGAGCTGGGCTCGGGAGAGGTTCTGATCTCACAGAGGGAGCCAGAAAACAAACGAGTTGGGCGGTCAATACTCTCTGGTAGGCAAGCTCTTAGCTCAGCCAAGACAAAATGGGGAGGGCTGACCCCTGCACTTCTCTCCTTGGGGGCGGGAGGGGGTGGGGAGATCAACAGACCCTCACAGCCTCCTTCTGCCCAGAGGGGTGCCCCAGAGATCTTGCACAAGCCCTGGGAGAGATAGCGTCAGATCTTGAGGGTGGAGAAGGCAGCTCCTTCCAGATGTTGTTAGCCAACCGCTAATGCTGTGTATCTGTCCCTCCTGGTCCTGGCCTTCATTTGCCCCCTGGAGAGTGAGTGCTCCCTCCTCCCATCTTCAACTCCCTGGCAGCATGGTGGGGGCTGGGCCCCAGTCAGCCTAGCTTTCAGGGCCTGCTGGATTCAGATGTCCAAAGCTCTTTGCTTGCACAATGTATACATATCCTCCAGGGCCTCAGTTTGTGGGTGATTGGAGGTGGGGAGTGGGGTATGCAGTAGAGATCCCTGAGATCCCTGAGTTAGTAGGGGCTCAGACCAAGTCTGATCTCCTCACCTCCCTTCTTGGCCTGGTCAGTTTCACACTCCTACCCTCTCTCCCTGCTCCATCAGAACAGGACAGCTTTGTGTGGGAGAGATTAGATGGTGTGTGGGGCAGGGGCAAGCATTGCCTGGAAATGGGCTTCAGAGTTCCTCTGCCCCCACCCCTTATTCCAGACTCATCACTCTCATCAGCGCAACCCTCCCCAGATGTTTCCCTCCCCCAGGTATGCTTACCAGCTATAAAGCACTTTTATAACCAGTCTCCTACTTGAGATTTGTCTAAACCTTTAGGTACACCCATTTTATAGAGTATGATACTGAGGCCAGAGAGACAAAAGGACTGATAGGAAGTTCACAAGGGCAAACCTGGAGCTGGATTTTGGGTCTTCAAGGATTAACCGAAGAGGAGGGTGAGGGGCTTAGGTTCCAGAAAGAGGAGAGTGGAATGTCTGGGTGGTTACACACATGTGCAAGGTGCTGTGTCTGGTTTGAAAATTTCTGTATCTATGGCTTGACTGTCAATGTGTGTCAGCATCTGTCTGTCATTTAAGAGTCCATTCATGAAATGTCATCCCTGCTCTTTCTTGTGTTCCTCTTGGCATGTTTGTGTGTCCCTTCATTCCCTCAGAGAGAAATTTAGGTACCCCTAAATTAGGTACCCCTAAGAGAAATTTCATTAAGTCCTGGAGTGAAAGCTGGGACTGAGACAGCAGAGGCCCTCTCTCAAAGACCCCATGCCCAGTCTAGGGTGTGGACAGGGCCCTGGTGGGAAGCATGTTCTTATCTGGGCCTGACGAGCATCTGTGGGGGCCGGCCCTTCCAGACCAGAGCCACAAAGGCCCCAGGGGCATCTGCAATTCAACCATTTTTCTCTCCCGGAGCCCCTTCCTTTGAACTCTTTTCTGTCAGTCCTGTGGGGGCAGGGCTGTTTCCCTTGTATCTGTGTCTGTTTCCTGGTCTTTGCCTTGAGTTGTTTCCATCTATCTTTGTGTCAGTCCCTCTGTAAATTCTACTTGGCCCCAAAAAGAGTAGCTGAGTCTGTGTCTGCCTCCAGCACCCTCTATGGGATGAACTGTCCCCCAGCTGGAGTCCGTAGGAAGTAGAGGCTGGACTTGTGTTCTGTCAGATGCAGGGCTGAACCTAGGGTTCCAGAAAATAAAGCCTCCCCCCCCCCCCCCTTCACAGAAGTACCCAGCCCTCCATTCCCCTTCACTGGGGAATCTGTCTTCCCTTTTTCCTTCTGGTCTCCTTGCTTCCCTCTGTGTGCCATACTCACCTTTCTTTTTTTCACCTGTTTTGGCAAATCCATTCCATTTTCTCCTCCTCTGCCTTCCTAACTTGAGGCTTCCTTTCCAGTCTCTTGTTTCTTGCTGTTTGTTCCCACTCTTTGCACCTTTTCCCTTAATAGCTCACTTTTCCTCTTTTCTTTTCCCATCCTGCCTCCTCTCTCTCAGGCATCTAGTTTTATTTCTTTCTAATCTCAGGGTAAGCGGGAGACATTGCCTTCTCAGATCACAGTTGTAAATCACCTCCCTACCACCCTTGAAATGCTCTATGTAGCAGGGGTGGGAAACCTTTTATTCTGCCAAGAGCCATTTGGATATCTATAACATCATTTGCAGGCCATACAAAATTATACACTTAAAAATTAGCTTGTTACTTGGACAAACATTTAATTAATTCACCCCCTAACATCTTAGCAAGGCCAGACCAAATGATTTTTCTGGCCTTATATGGCCGGGGGCCCAGACATCCCCCACCCTTGCTTTATTGGATAGGACTATGACAGAGGCAGAGAGAGCTAAGTGAGTTTGGGTTTTTTTCCAAGGATCCCAGGTTACCCGGGTCTGGTGTCAGCTGTGGACATGTGGATCAGACTCTGGATAAGTATCGGTAGCCTAGTCTTTGCGGTCAGGAGCATAGGGCTTGCTGTCACTTAGAGTTTCCATGATACAAGCGGCCCCCAAAGCTCACAAATGTCTTACAGAGCTGCTCTTGAACTGCCCTGAAGGTTGGCATTGTGTTTTGGGCAGAAAGTTTAAATCACCAGCGGTATAGGGAACAGGCTATTGCAGACGGGCCACAATGCCTAGACTGACAGGTTATCTTAAAAGTGTGCTGAGGGCTTTTAGCTTCCTTTTTTGTCCTTTCTGATGAGCTTGTACCAATTTTGAATTTACTTTCTTCTTAAATCCAGCCTGTTCTTGAAAGATCCATACAACCTTTTTTTATTAGATGCTCCCAACCCCAGAACAAAGCTTTCTCAAGACCTTTGACCAGGGGTGGCTACAGTCTTCCGATTTTAGATGAACGAAGCAATCATATTCCTAACTGCAAATATCCTTTATGAGATAGCTTTTCCTTTTCTTGTGTCTGGGGTGTTTTAGAACAGTCAATACCAACTAAAATTCATTTTGAAAATCAGAGAGAAATTCAGCTTAAAACTAGAATTTAGTACTGTTGTTATCTATAAAATTGTATTTTTTCCTTGAAATCAGCCTGAGGTTGGAAATTTGGGGAAATATCCAATTCAGACTCTTCCTGAGAAACTTCAGTGAATTGGTTTGGCATTAAAAAAAAAAAAAAAAAAAAGGTTATGTTATGGATTCCCTTCCCCCGTCCATTTCAGATGTTGTTCATGAATCTGAATAGTAGTTGAATGTTAGGGAGGGGGTTGAGAGCTGAGATGAGGTGGCTATTTTGTGTTTCAGAGTTGGTGTGTGTGTGTGTGTGTGTGTGTGTGTGTGTGTGTGACCTCCAAGATGCCCTGGCTTCCCTGGTATAGCCCAGACCCAGGCAAGTCTCAGTTTAGTTTATTCCCCTTCCAGGCCTTTGAGCTGCCAGAAGCATTGGTAAATGCTTAAACTTCGCTTTTGGCTTTTGGCTTCAGAGATGTCAGTGGCTGGTTAATAACTATAAGGTCAATAATGTTGCTACCCTCTGTGTTTACTGGGATGGCGCTTCAGTTACTTGTATCCTTGTTTCCCTCCAGACGGATCCAGATGTAAGGAAGCTTATGGGTGGGGGAAGATACTTTCCAAAGACTCTACTTGAAATTTGTCCCAGAGCCTTTGTAAAACCTGGATCCAGAAGCCTTCTTTATGTCCCCTGAACTAGCTCATAGCTGCTTGTCAATTGCAAAACACCCCACAAATATTAGGGAAACATCTTCTTAGCAAATCGTAGAGCAATAGGGTGAAATAAATGTGATCCTCCGATCCATTTCTTTTGTGTGCTCAGAGAAGGTACAGTGGTCAAATCTGCACATCAGCTTCATCTTTGTTTGTTTGTTTATTTCCCCCCACCTCAGTTTTATTGGGTATATAATTAAAGAAAATATTTTTATCAAGGCAGTGGTTGGGTTTTGTCTCAGCACCACGCAGATTCTATTAAAAATTTTAAAAAGTACGTAGCCCTTAATCAGATTGTTGATTAAAAAAAAAAAAAAATTCCCACCCCTGAGATCCAGGTTTATTGGGATAGTCCCTTTCACTTTTGAAGATACAGTATTTGTTAAAAGGAAGAGTTTTATTTTTAACAATGTCTTTAAATTTGATGTATTTTTAAAATGTATTTTCTCCCGGGGGCTTTTTCTTAGACCTCAGTATCATATACATAGTAAGTTGTGTCCCTAGTATAGACTGAGGTCTTTCACATATTCCATTGTTAAAAAAAAAGAATTGCACAGAGAATCCTAATAACTAAAGGAAGCATAGTATGCCGATGCTTGCCTTCTTTAGCCCAATTGACTGGCCGAAGATTGACAAAGGCTGAGGCTAATTTTACAAAGCAATCTGAGGTATTAATGTAGTCTGCATGATCAGACTCCAGGCTCAAGATGTCCAGCCTGTAGCCATTTCTGATCTGAGGGGCTCTGGATGTTCCCGGCAGGACTTCTCCGTCTATGTGATTGGTTCTAACCACCCTCTCCCTCGCTTTCTGTTTCTGATCTGTTCCAGGACATGGAGGAGTGAATCAGCTTGGGGGAGTTTTTGTGAATGGACGGCCCCTCCCGGATGTAGTCCGCCAAAGGATAGTGGAACTTGCTCATCAAGGGGTCAGGCCCTGCGACATCTCCAGGCAGCTTCGGGTCAGCCATGGTTGTGTCAGCAAAATCCTTGGCAGGTAAAGGCAGGAGCTCCAGGTTTCCCTTGATCTTTAAAATAATGATCCAAAACGTGACCCAGCCACTGTCCAGTGTGCCAGTGCCGCAGTGAGAATCATTGTGGCGCGTCACCCACACGCACAGCCCTTAAGAGTTTGCAAAGCCCTTTGGAGGCCACTCAGTTCAGAGTGATGCTGGAAAACCCCAGTGATGTGGGGGATGGGGACTCCGTCAGGAGGGATGGCATGTTTTCTGAACGCCTGGTAAATGATTCCAGACAACCCCAAGAGTAAGAGGTTCTTGAAAACTTCCCCTGCGCATTTTAGGTAAGCTCAGGACCTGGGCAGGGCTGGGTGGAAAAATCCACAAGTTAAAATGACCAGAGTTCAGTTTTTCATTTTAATGTTTTCAAAAAACACATTCCATTTTTACAAAGCAGTCTGTCATTTTTTCGGTTTTAGACTAACATCAACCTCATGTTGGGCTGCAGTTTTTTGTTTTTTTTTCTTCCCTATGTTGTGTTTCTTGCATAGCGACAGGCATCCTAAGTATATATTCAATTAGAGGAGGGAAAAAAAACCAACCCCAAACAGACACCAACGCTCAAGTCTGACATTTGAAAGTTGCCACTTGACCCAGCGATTTGCTGCAAGCCAAATACTAACAACACTGATTCTCCCAGAGGACGGTACAGCCTTTAGCCTTCGTGTTGATTTTCTGTAGCGAGCGCGACTCAGCCCCATCCCGGGAAGCAGCTTTGAGATGAGGAAGCAAACCTAGAGAGGCAGAGTGACTGGCTCAGATCTAGCCAGCCAGTCAGTACCCAGGCTGGGAAGAGTGTATAATAAGGATTCCCAGATCATGGGCATTTCGCCATACCCCCAGACCAAAGCCACAGGTTTGTTGCCAGCCACGTGAAGTTGTTAGAGGTTTGCCCTGACAATGAGGAGCAGTCTCCGGGTATGGCTGTTCTGTGCTCTCTCAGGATTTCTCTCCTCGGGTCAGAGAACAACCTTTGTCCTGTAGCTTGCACTATGGTTTGAGAACAGATGCCTTGATAGGAAATACATATTTTGAAGTATGTCAGTGACATTGGGACTTTTTGCTTGCCCTTTCCCTGCTGGAATTAAAATCTGCTGGAATTTAAAAAAATTATTTCAAATGAAACAGTTACTAACCTTGGGGGGGGGGGTGGCTTGCTGGAGACCAAGAGGAAGTTTTAGGCCAGAGGTCTGAAAGGAAGCCCCTTTAGGGACCTTGATCCCTGAGTTTATTCCTCATTCGCCTGCCCATCTAGGGTCACTTCAGCCATGGAGGCTGTTTAGCACTCGGTAGCAAACAAGCGCCAGACAGAATTCAAAGAGGAAGGCAGCACATCGGCCTTGGTATTCTTATCAGAAGGTGGTTTTCCTGAATAGACGATGAGAGTGAGAGTAGAAGAAAATAGAGAGGAGGTAGAAGAGAAAGAGAAAAACAAAACACAGCCCAAAACAAAGCGAAAAGAGAGTGATTAATTTAAAAGAGAAACAGAAAGAGAAATGAAGACAAAAATAGGAGGACAGAAAATATTTTTAGATGATCTCAGCATCAGACTCCAAGTGCTGAATGGATCTTAGGTATCTTCTCGGGAAGCCTCTTCATTGTACAGAGAGGAGAGAGAGAGAGAGAGAGAGAGAGAGAGAGAGAGAGAGAGAGGAGTGAAAGAAGGCCTTTCCTTTGTTTTTTTTGCTGAGACATCTTTGTTGAGCCGACATTTTACTTGCGATTTGAAATCTTCTCAGGGCAAGATGCTGAACCCTTCTCAGAGGGGGCCTCTTGCTTCCGGGTCCTCCTATTCCGGTGCCCGGGAGCCCTCCACATCTCCCCTCGAGACCGAAGGGGACAGGGACCTCCCCAGGCTCAGCTGGCAGCCTTCCGCGACCCCCGAATAGACTTGTCACTAGGTAGAGTGGCAACTCGGAAGTTACGCGCCGCTCCGGTGCCTGGCCGTTTAAGTTGTCAACAATAAATTGGAATTTCATAGCTCATTATTTTCATAACTAAGAACCACAGTGGACAAAATGTCACTCTAATTAGAACTGCCTTTTTAAGAAACAAGTTCAGCCCCTAAAACAGTGTGACTGGGAATTTCTGAACGAGGGCTGTTCCATCCACTGAGTTATTATTTATTTATTTTTGGTCACTAAAAATTTGACGGGTGGCACACCGGGTGACAGATTGTAAAGAGCGTGTGGCGTGTGGCGTGCGGTGGCCGTGGTTTTCGAGGCTGCCTGGCAAGACAGGCAGAGTCCCCGGGGCTGGCAGAGACCCCGTCATCTCGGGAAGGTGGCGGTGTGCCAGGAGTGTGGGCATTCAGTCCGCAGAGCTCCAGCGCCAGGCGGGCTTGAGAGGCACAGCCTGATGGCATGCGAGGCCCATTCAAATCCAGCCCGAAAGCCTGGCTGTTGTCTTCTTTCACGAGGGCCCGCCTGGGAGGGTCAGGCCACTGGGAACTGGGTGGCGTGTTCCATAGGAATAAACGCTCCAAGGATTTTAATCCACAGCAGCACGTGCTCTTTATGTTTTGCAAAGTTTTTTTTCTTTTCTTTTCTTTCTTTTTTAAAAAAAATATATTTTATTGATTTTTTTTTACAGAGAGGAAGAGAGGGGAAATAGAGAGTTAGAAACATCGATGACAGAAAAACATCCATCAGCTGCCTCTTGCGCGCCCCCTACTGGGGATGTGCCCGCAACCAAGGTACATGCCCTTGACCGGAATCGAACCTGGGACCTTTGATTCCGCAGGCCGTCGCTCTATCCACTGAGCCAAACTGGTTTCGGCCAAAGTTTTTTCCTTAACCATGCTGCAATCTGTCTTCACCACAGCCCTGCGAGGCAAGCAGGGCCAACATCCTCCCCTTAGTCTACAAATGGGATGCCTTGGGGCCCAGAGAGTCTAAGTGAGTTGGTCAGGGTCACACAGCACAGTAGCGTCAGAGCTGCCGACTAGCATCGACATCCCTTGGCTCCCACACGGATGCTCCTTGCTGTTGGTTGTCATGTGCTGTTGGCGCTGCTCATCTGTTGCATGTAGCCGAGTGACTTCTCGTGTCAAGAGCATAGCCTTCTTGGGTGGGAAGAGCGGAGAGCCCAAGCTCTGCCACCCCAGCCATGCAAGCAGGACAAGTGCTGAGGGTGGGGGAGCTTCATCCGGCCACCTTTTCAGAGGTGCTGCCTGAATACTGCAGCTCCACTTAACCAATGTATGTTGAGTATCCAGCACAAGGTTGTCCGTGTGTCTGTACTCCTTGCCCCATGAGGGTAACTATTGAATGACTGGGTGAATGAAGGGAAAAAACAAAACGAAAAAACGCGATAAAATTCCTGGTAAACAGTGAAGCTTTCGGCAATGGCAAGGGATTATTATTACTATCACTATTATTTACATTTTTACAACCAAAGCAGCAGTGTGCCCTCATGGGGGGTGCTCCAGATTCAAGGTCAGGTTTACAAGGTGGGGCTGCCTCTAACTTCCAGAAGGAAATGGGATGAAGTCACATAGTCTTCTGATCATTGGTTTCCTTCCTATAAGTCCCTACTGGCCTCTCAGGATTGGTGTGAGGATCAAGATCATTCAAGGAAGAGCTCTGTAAACCTTAGAGCACTGTGTCTAAATAAGAAGCTATTGTGGTGATAGTAGCACATGAGTTTCTATTGTAAAATTGAAAGGATAATTGGAGGCTGCAGAAATTGCCTTGTGCCTTGATTTAGGTACCTCCTTAGACTTCCAGCAAAAAAAGTATTTTCTTCACTGTTTCTAAAAACGTGTTTGTGACTAATAATTTTTCAGCAATTACAAGAAGAGGGAGGACAGGCTGGCTTTTGCCTTACGGTCCAAATTTGTACATGACCCACTCTTCTCAGAGAAAAATAGAATTTCCACTTCCACATCACTGCTCCTAGATTATCTGATCTGTTTCTAGAATATTCACAGACCTGGCCCTAATCAGACTCACCCAGGCTGAGCATTTCAACCTCTCTTTAAAGGTAACCAGCCATAATTCTGGGTAACTTTTCCTACCCATCCCACGAGCGGATCACCTCTTTCCTTTACCAATTACAAACTGTTGTCAGATTTGAAAGTTACGAGTCGTTTCTAAGATGTCTTTCTGTTTCAAAAGAAATTTCAACAGCAAGGTAATCTCCCCTTTGCAAGAGGAAGTCAAGAATTCCTCCGTAAATGCTGAGAGAGACATCCAGCGGAGCTCAGTTTCAGAAAAGGAATCAAGTCATTTTCCCCTCTGAAATGATCTTTCATGGCACTCTTCTCCCTGGTCTCGGTTTTACTGTAAAAACCCTGACATCCTATTTGCATTAACGAGGACGAGCTGATAGCATGGAAATGCCCTTAGAAACAGCCATTTACCTCAAGGGAGGTCCTTGGGAGAGCTGCTGTGACTCGTGGCTGGTTTTTTGATTGCTTGGGTTTGGACTTACAGTTTCAGTGACTTCTGGAATCTAATACTCCCTTTAAGTTTACACCAGGGTTATTGTTTGATTGTTTTTTATGGAAAAATAAGTCCCGTTTTAAGGGGCAGTGTTACCAAAGGCAGATGAATCTGCCAGGGGATGAGAGAGCTGGCAAATTAAAGGCACAAGCCAACTGTCTGGGGTAATCGTAGCTCAGGAGGCTGGGCCACGATCCTGGTTTGGCCGGTGGGTCTTGTGTAACCACGAGCAAGCCGTTTAACCTCTCTGGATCTCTGTTTTAGAGCTGTAGATGGGGACTCGTTCATGTATTCATTCACTCATTCAAAACATTTGTGTGCTTTAGAACTGGTGTGGGGATCAAATGGGAAAACTGACTTGAAAGAGTTCTGTAAACTGTAAAATGGTAGATCAATATAAAGGAATAAATAAATGTGTAGTATCCTGACCAACAGAAATAAAATGTGAGTCATGTATGCAATTTAAAATTTTCTAATAACACATTAAAAAAGAAAAAAAAAAACAGGTACAGTGAATTTCAAATATACATACATATCTATATATATATATCTAAATATATATAGATATATACATATATGATTATTATTATTTCAACATATAGCCAATATAAAAATTATTAATGAGATATTTTAAATTCTTTTGGTACTAAGTTTTGAAAATCTGGAGTGTGTTAAGCTTACAGTATGTACAGTTCAAATGAGCCATATATTAAATATTCAGAAGCCACATATGGCTAGTGGCCACTTGATTGGACAGCGGCAGATGCTTCCTGGACAGAGTGGCCTATTATTTTGTTGTTAGAATCCATTTTTGCTGGTTCCTCATGGCTAAGCTCCTTTCTCCTTGGTCCTAGGTATTATGAGACGGGGAGCATCAAGCCTGGGGTAATTGGAGGATCCAAACCAAAGGTTGCCACGCCCAAAGTGGTGGAAAAAATTGCCGAGTATAAACGCCAAAACCCCACCATGTTTGCCTGGGAGATCAGGGACCGGCTGCTGGCAGAGCGAGTGTGTGATAATGACACGGTGCCCAGCGTCAGTTCCATCAACAGGTGAGAGGCTGCTGCCTGTGGGGCCGGGGATCTGCGTGGAGTGGGGGATCCTAGAATCTCTGTGGGTGCCTTTTCAGGAGATCTGGTCTCCCCGTTCACCAAGGCCGCTTAGGGGACATTGGACAGGAGGTCTGCTTGTGGGGCCTCTGTTGGCCCCACAAGATGGGTCTCTCTGTTGCCCTTCTCTTCTCTCCAAAGTGGGCAGGAGGTCTAGCCCCAGGGAGAGGAGGCCATGCCAACATCATGGCTGCTTGAGAATCTTCCAGCTCTAGAGTGATTTGCATCACTCTCTCTCCCCTATTCTGTGGGTGGAGCACTTAACAGTGAATTGTCCTGATTAGGCCTTCAAGTGTCACTGCTTCACAAGTCCAGGCTCCAGGTCTTAGCACTGGCCCATTTCAGACCCTCCCAGGAGGAAGAGCCCTGCCTTCAGCTGGAGCAGAGGTTGAGCCATTGAGTGTGGGGAATAGGGCCCTTACTTGGGATTGGGAGATTTAGCTCCTTGCCACAAGCACAAAGGGTGACCTTGACAGAAAGCCCCTCCTGTCACTGAGCCCAGGGCCTTGGCGAGTCTGTGATCTCCAAGAGAAATGTTCGGGATGCTAAGGTGCTGTGGACTTAGGGAGTTGCCCTCTCCCCGTCAGCCCCAAATCTTACCCACGGACACAAAGAACTAGAGAAATACCGCAAGTGCCAGGCTCGGGATCTTCCCAGGAGCCACCAGGGCTCCTTCTCCTCTCCCGTCTAATCCAGGATACAGCCAACAGAGCTCTCAGAGCTTTAAGACACACAGATTCCTGGAAGCAGGGTTTCCACTGTGAATGGTGCAGTCTCAACGCCACTTAAACCCACCGAGTCAGGGATTGAGGTAGCGAGATGAACAGAAATGACTGCTCTATAAACTCCACAGAGAAAAGAGAAACCAGCACCCTGAAAACTTGAGCAGTTCCCATTTCGTCAAGGTCATACCGTGCTCTTGTCAGTGCAGAGCCTGTCTGGGCTCAAGAATGCCTCAGAAGAGTGGTCACACTGGAGTGTCTCTCAGATTCCCTCAGGTCCCGACAGTCATTCCTTCCGCCGTGACTCACTGTGATGTGTGAATATGTGCTAATGTTTTGAGTCCTGCTATTTCATAAACCACTAGCCTGTTTTTCTTTTCTCAGTAAACCTTTACCTTGGGCAAGGTGCTGAGAAGAGAGAGGGGAAATCGTCTCTTAGTCTCTGTCCCAGAGGGGCTCCTCATCCAGGCTGAGATTCTGGCATGCATGTAGAAGCCCAGACAGCCCGAATTATGCACAAAATGACAACTATTGTGGTGGGCTCCAGAGGAATGACGCCTATTTTTTTTTTTTTTTTCTGGACGATGAGGGGCTCTAGTATGCTGTGTGGGTCCCCTGCTTTTGGCGTGTTGCAGGATTTCCATGACACAAGCAGCATGATGTTTTTCCCAGGTGTCCCAAAGCCCTAACGTGTAGTGAAGGAGCAGTCAGCTTGCTTTGCAGAGGAGCCGCCACCAAACCCGTGATCAGGCTTTGGGGCCCACAGAGTTCCCAGTGTAGGTTATACCTGGAATTGGCGGATCAAAACATAACTTTAGCCCTTTGGCTCAGTGGATAGAGCGTCGGCCTGCAGACTGGAAGATCCCAAGTTCGATTCCGGCCAAGGGCATGTGCCTTGGTTGCGGGCACATCCCCAGTAGGGGGTGCGCAAGGGGCAGCTGATTGATGTTTCTAATCGATGTCTCTAACTCTCTATCCCTCTCCCTTCCTCTCTGTAAAAAAAAAAAAAAAAAAAAAAAAAAAATCAATAAAATGTATATATTAAAAAAATAAAATAAAATAACTTTAGGTTGCTTGGGAGGGTCCCAAACTTTAACACCTAAGTGGGCCAGACAGATAATGTAACAAATAAAGCAGGGCAGGCACAAGACGACAGGGAAAGGTTGGGTCTGTGGCAAACTAGGCAGGACAAGCCCTGTAGAAAGGGCAATTGCTTCTCAGCAGACCGTGAGCCCAGTGTTTGCCAGGCTTTTTCCGTTCTTAACGAGAAGCTGGAAACTAGGACTTCGTGTGTGTGTGTGTGTGTGTGTGTGTGTGTGTGTGTGTATGTACTGGTATCCTTGTACACACGAAATCTCTATTTTTAAACGGTGGCAACTAATTTCCATGAAAAAAATGCCTTGCAGGACAAGCATCACTTATTTAGGGCTCCAGCTTCTATCCGCTGGAACACAAGGATGAAAACGATTTTGTGATGAATTTGTTTGAATGTATTTTAGAAACAGGTAACTAGTGCTCCAAACCAGTGCGTGTGAACTTCATGAACTCTCCCGCCCCACCTTTAGTAAAGAACGAAGGTTGCCTATTAAAGTGAAAAAGTGAGTTATTTGAAAGAAACGTACGAAATAGGGAACCGTGATCACAGCTGTGGAGGAAAGTAATAGGGGGCACTTGGAGGAGTGTCGAGGGGAATTGTGGATCAGCTGGTGCTTTGGGCCTTCAGCTGTGCTGGGCCGGAGTTGGGAGGGGGGGAGCTCTGACTGCTGGTTGCTGGGGCCATCCTGGTGACCCGTTGGCTGTGCCTCTAAGGTGCTTTAATGTGTCCTACAGGCCCCCAAAGCTAACTCTATCCTGTGACAGATATAGAAACCAGGGCCCAGAGGGGAAGTGCAGAGTGATTTTGAGATAGAGAGGGGAGTAGGGAGTGGGGTCTGGGTCCCCTGATGGTAAGAGGATGGTTGGGCTCTTTCTACCACTGCCCTGTAGGACTCAGCCAATGACAGACTGAGGGTCCCTGAGAAGACAGGCAAGGAGGAGGACAGTCATTCCCCCTGCATTTCTGAGCCTGGCAGCCTGCAGGTGCTGCAGCCTGTCTGCAGGCTCCTCTGTGGTCCGTGGCCTTCTCCCATGCTCCTCCCTAGGGCTTCTCTCTGAGAGTGCTCTCTGGCTCCTCATCACATTCTTCAGTGAGAGCTCCTCGGTGCCTTTAACAACTGACTCTGCAATGCAGACAAACTAAGGGTGGAGCAGTCTCATGTTGCTGCACGCCCTTCCTCCTCTCCCAGGAAAGCCTGAGCTACCCCGGCATAGTTTGCTATATAACAGCAAAGCTCCCACTGCCCTCCAAGGGATTGGGTACCCTGGCCCGGTGACTCAGCTAGGTGGAGCGTCATCCTGTACACCGAAAGGCTGCAGGTTTAATTCCCAGTTAGGTGCTTACATAAGCAACCTATCAATGTTTCTCTCTCTCTCTCTCTCTCTCTCTCTCTCTCTCTCTCTCTCTCTCTCTCTCCCCCCCTTCCTCGCTCTCTAAAAATCAATAAAAACTTGCAAATGTCATTGTGTAAAAGGGTGCGCAGTGCCCTCTCCCAGCCCCTGCCTCCCTTGGAGGCAACATTTCACGTTTCCCAAACTTCCGTCAGGGAGGGAGTGGTGGCTGGATTTGTAGCTGTTGTGGTGGCCACAGGGTCATCTTCACTGTCCACCCCTAGAAGTGTATGCTTTCCCTCTGTCATCTGGGGGACCAGGCTGGGAAACCGTGACTGGCCTGGGGTTAAACAGCGCTGCACTAGGTCTGCGTGGCTTGTGGGAGACTTCTTGGGACACACACCATCATGGCGCTGTGGCTTCTTCAGGACAAATACACGCTGGGCTGCTGCACAGCCTGCACGATGGAGCCTTAGACGCCAGCCTGAGTGTCAGGTGGAGGTGATGGCCCAGAGCTGGCCCAAACATTGGGAGAAATGGAGGCATCCTTCTCTATCAGTCCTGTGGCCCCAGGTCAGGGCCCAGTGGTGAGGAACCTGGAGTGGCAGCTCCAGGAGCACCAACTGGCCTTTGCTTTGTGAGAAGGTGGAGTCAAAATTGCCAGGTGTTCTATTTTTTTTTCCCCAAGAGAAGCTAGAAATCCATTTATTTATGTAAGAGCTCCTTACTTAGAACTAATTCAAATACAAATAAATATACTGTGTAAGCCAAACACAAATTGTCCAGTGATGGATGTGGCCTGAGGGTGACAGTTTGTGAAGTCTGCTCTTCATCCTAACTTGGGAAGCAAGCCTTTGAGACTGCTTACCCACTTCCTCTTTCTTTCTTTCTTTCTTTCTTTCTTTCTTTCTTTCTTTCTTTCTTTCTTTCTTTCTTTCTTTCTTTCTTTCTTTCTTTCTTTTCCTCCTCCCTCCCTCTTTCTTCTCTCTCTCTCTCTCTCTCTCTCTCTCTCTCTCTCTCTCTCTCTCTTTCTTATCCTCACCTGAGAATATGTTTTTATTGATTTTTAGAGAGCGAGGAAGGGGGGAAGAGAGAGAGAGAGAGAGAGAGAGAGAGAGAGAGAGAGAGAGAGAGAGAAACATTGATAGGTTGCTTATGTATGCACCTGACTGGGAATTAAACCTGCAGCCTTTCGGTGTACAGGATGACGCTCCACCTAGCTGAGCCACCGGGCCAGGGTACCCAATCCCTTCACTATAGTCCCTCGGTATCCACTGGAGATTGGTCCCAGGACCTCTGTGGATACCAACCTCCTGAAAGCTTGAGCCCCTTATATAAAATGGTGTAGAACAATGCACACGGTTGGCACTCCACACCTGTGATTCTCAACCTCAGATTAAAAATACTGTTTTGGGGGGAACCTATAATACTGTCAACAATAAAAATTTAAAAGGAAGTACTGTTTTTGATTTGCAGTTGGTTGAATCTGTGAATGTGAAACCTTGGGCTACTGAGGGTCAACTGTATTTATTGAAAACAATTATGTATAAGTGGACACACGCATTTCAAACCTGTGCTGTTTAAGAGTCAACTGCACCAGAGGGGCGGGGGGTGCACTCAGTGGAGGTGGTGCTCTTTGTCCTTTTCCCAAAGTGGTTTTAGATGTCTCCTTTAAAGCTGTTGGCCAGATAGTCTACAATGAGCACAAAGTCCTTTTATGATGAGGGAAACTCTAATAAGTGTTCTTTTAAAAGAGAAAAATTGGCGGTTGGAATAGAACTGTCCCAAAGAAGCTGGACATCTTATTATCGCCCACCCTGTCCCCAGTGCCAGAGAGGAACTTTCTCGCAGGCCTCACAGGGACTTTTGGCTTGGCCCAGGTTGACATACCGGGTGTAAGGTGTCATGGAGAAGGTTCTGCTGAAGGACCTCATTCAGTTACTTCAAGTAAGTAAAGAGTGCCCTATTCTAACAGTCACTGAATTGAGGATGGAACTGATTTGCCCAGGGTCACTAGCAGGTTCTTATTAGAACTAAAGCAAGGTCCCTGGAAAGACAAGCCAGCTGAGTCCTGGTCCCAGCCCCATGAAGCTTTTCCCTGAAGTTTTTGTAGACTTTTCTTTTTTCTTTTTTTAAAATATATTTTATTGATTTTTTACAGAGAGGAAATGAGAGAGAGATAGAGAGTTAGAAACATCGATGAGAGAGAGTCATTGATCAGCTGCCTCTTGCACACCCCCTACTGGGGATACGCTCGCAACCAAGGTACATGCCCTTGACCGGAATCGAACCCGGGACCTTTCAGTCCGCAGTCTGACGCTCTATCCATTGAGCCAAATCGGTTTCAGCTGTAGACTTTTCTTAGCAAAGCCAAGCTAAGCCTCTCTTGGCAGCACTTTAACCCTTTCTAGTTTCAAAGTAACTCTTGTGATAGCTGGGGAGGTTACTCCTCCTGTGGCTATCCAAGGAGAATCAAGAGCTGGAGGGCTTTCGGGGGACAGAGAGGTCCCTTGGCTAGTCTTCATTCCACAGAAGGGGAGCGGGGGGAGGTCCAGTTGAAGGGAAGAAACTCCCTAATGTCACTCAGTGACTTCATGGAGCCAGAGCTGCTCCTGAGAAAGGGATGTCTTCCTAAAATGAACACATCATCCTTTTCTATACAGGAGGCACCTGAGGCCCAGAGAAGGGTGCAAGGTACTCAGAGACACCAGGGGAGTAGGGGCTGCGTTGGGACTTGTCCGTCACTTTTCCAAGCCCCTAACTCCTGACCTGGGTTCATCATCTCCCCTCCCCTCTGCCACAGCTTGACCTGTGCCCCATCTTGATGTGGGATTTTTGGTTGTCCGTCCACAGCTGGTTGAGATCTCTTTTCTCAGATGGTAAATAGCCATTCATTTTTTCCCCCCACTGCCCACAGGATCATCCGGACAAAAGTACAGCAGCCGCCCAACCAGCCGGTCCCAGCTTCCAGTCACAGCATTGGTAAGAACTTCAAAAAAAAAAAAAAAAAAATCGAATGGGCTCCAAATATTCTAAAGAACTTTTAATCATTCTTATGGACAGATAATTCTGCATAAAACACTTCGGCACACGTACTAATGCGCTTTCTTTGTCATTCTCCAAGGGCTGAACCCGGTAAATGAATTTTATAAATACTGCTAAAAGGTTTTGAATTTTACTGATTATTATGATAAATAGCTTTCAGCATGAGACAGAAAATTGAAATCTAAGCCAAAAAAAAAAAAAAAAATTCCACTAATGGGGGTCTATAGAATGTCAGATAATTAAAGTAATAAATCAAGAAAGGGGTACTTATTCATAACATTTTCTGCATCATTAGTCAGTAAGTAGTTTTGAATGTGTTTTTTTCCCTCTATCAACCAGCCCTTCTACCATTCTTTGTGCACTTGCAGTCTTGAGTGAAGATGTGGCAAAACTTCTCTCAAACTTTCTCTCTCTCTCTCCCTTGCTTCGATCTCATGTACCCTGAGCTGCCAAAGGCTGCCAGTGGAGTTTCTGACACTCACGGGTGAAGTTGGAGAGGGACCATGACTTCTAAGAAGGGGAGCCATCTTTCCTACCAGTTGACCTTTGAACAACGTGAGGGTTAGAGGAGGCACCCCCCCCTCACATGTCAAACATCTGAGTGTAACTTTGGACTACCCCCCACACTTCACTGTCCCTCCGTATCTGCAGTGGATTGGTTCCAAGACCCTCCACAGATACCAAAATCTATGATGTTCACGCCCCTTCTACAAAATGGCGCAGAGCAATGTATCTAAGAGGCTCTCTGCATCTGCAAACTCCCAACTGCGGATCAAAAACAGTATTTTTGATCTGAGGTTAGTTGGTAGAATCTGCGGATGCGAAACTAAGGGATACAGAGGCCTGCCTGTGTATTTAATGAAAAAAAAAATCCATGTTTCCTTGGACCTGCACACTTCAAACCTGTGCTGTTCAAGGGTCAACTACACTCAAGAGCTCAGACGTTTCCCTTGCCCTTCCCTTCTCTGCAACGACTGTGGGAAAAAATGACATGCGTCTATGTAAGGCATATTATTTCTCCACTTGGGATAAAGGAGACCCCCTTTATCCCAAGTGGAGAAGGTTAGCTGGGGGCAGGTTATTCTACTCTAAGAAAGTAGGCGACCATTCTGACAGTTCTGGTTGCCACAGTCCCAGTCGATTCCACATAATCGTACCTCCTATTCTGTACCATTTCCACACCTTTTCATTCCTTCAGTGGAAAACTTGAACTCCCCGTGGCGATGTCAGTCCCTTCACCCTTCAGAGCCTCAGTTTCCCCCTTTGTGAACGTGGGGGCACAACCCCGGTGCTCTCTGAGTTCTCTGATCCTCCACGGTTGCCTCTTTGGATAATGGTAAGACAGCACTCTTCCCTGCTGTGAACTCATTCTTCCTTTCATAATCAACTCAAAAAGTGTTTGCCAAGCCCCTGCTATGCAGACCTTGGTGTTGGAGACACGTGTTTTAATTTGGAGGCAGGACAAACTTCCCTTTCACAAAGGCTCCTTGGTCTAAGGGGGCAATGTAACAAAGGAAGTGTGCTGAACACAGAGATGAAGCTCAAGAAGACACAGTTCAGGGTGCTGTTGAGCTGGGGCCTAGAGGGTTGAAGAAGGCTCCCCGGGGAGATGTGTGCGGCTGAGATTTCACGTGGACAGCTTTTTCATTATTTCTGGTCACTTATCGATAGCAATGACTATCACACTGATAGTAACTGGTAGTATTCTTTCAGTTCCTTCTACTTGTGGGTAGCAGAATGCTTTGTTTGTGTTTGAAATTCTTATGAAAACCATTATCTTATATGTGTGCAGCCCCTTATAGTTTACAAGCTTAGTGAGGGGTGAGGAAAGGGAGGCTTAGAGGGATTCAATAACTATCCCAAGGTCCCAATGCCAGTTAAGTGTGGAGCCAGAGTTGGAACCTGGGCCTTTTGAGTTTAGTGTATATATCACAAAATATCAGAGCTAATCTCGTCGGCTCTGTCAGCACATCGGCTCTGTCAGCAACATGGCGAGCCTTGGTATGTCTGTGGTGGTTGTTGTTTAAAGTTCCGATGACTTGTGATCTTCCTTCTTCCTCTGTTCTTGGCACCTTAATACAGAAAAGGTTGTGAGATTTGCATAAATCTATTTTGAGTGGCTTCTTCTGTTGAAAGAAAAGAGAAGTTAACAATTTCTACTTCTGCGCCTCCTAAGGAAGAGCTAAAAATCAAACTCAGATGCGAGAAGAAAGGCGCCGTTCCCGCTAGGTCCGTCGAGGCGAGGGCTGGCCCCGCTCCAAGGAAAGCAACCAGCAGCTTCTCACGCAACCACCTCCGCCGCCGTCTCTAGTCATTTCCTAGGCACGGCCCGGTCCAAGGCGGCCCTACCTGCCTCCAGCTAGTTATAGCCCAAGGAAATGTATCTGAGATTGGCTTGTAGGTTTTAATGAACCAAGAAAGGATCCCCACGGGCCCAGGAGTGGAAATTCAGCTGTACAGCTCGAGGGGAACCCTGACGACCGACTGGCCGGCCTCTCCCGTGGACCCTGAGGCCCGGCCTCACACAAAAGCCTCCCCTCCCCCAGTCTTGTCCTTCAGAACTCAGAGATCTGGCTTCAGTCACACGTCACTGGCCGCTGTCTCCATTTCTGGGCAGGGGATGTGTGGACTTTCAAACAGATGGTTAGACCCATGAACAACCCCTGATGCTACTGCTTACCGGCTGGCTTGGAGCCAACCACTTTACCTTGGTGAAGCCTCAGTTTCTTCATTTGATTATTCTCCAAGGGCTGAACCCGGTAAATGGAATAAATAATATAAATAAATAAATGGGGCCGGGACCGGTTTGGCTCAGTGGATAGAGCGTCGGCCTGCGGACTGAGGGGTCCCGGGTTCGATTCCGGTCAAGGGCATGTATCTTGGTTGCGGGCACATCCCCGGTGGGGGGTGTGCAAGAGGCAGCTGATCGATGATTCTCTCTCATCGATGTTTCTAACTCTCTGTCCCTCTCAATTCCTCTCTGTGTAAAATCAATAAAATATATTAAAATAAATAAATAAAAAATAAATGGGGATAAATAACAGCAGGCATCAAACGAAAAGCACTGCATTGTGTGAAGCCTCTTCCTGGTTTTCATTACTAATTAGGGAAGCACAGGTTACTATAGGGGTTCTCCTAGTTTCTGGGCTCCAGCCACCACTCTCCGTCTCATTAGCTCTATGACCTTGGGCAGGTCACTTACCTTCTCTGAGCCTTTTGTCCTTTGACCTTTTCAGTGGGATAGTAACATGAGCTAGCTTATAAGGTTGCTTGCAGAAATAAATGAGATCATGCCTCAATGCCTGGCCTGAGAGTTAGTTATATTAGAAAATGTTAGTTATTGTTATTATGGATATATATGTCAATATAACTATATGTTACATATATTACTATATCAGTATTATGGGTTTCATATTAAAATCTATGTAAATGGGAAGGAAAAAAGACAGCGAGGAACTGTAAAAAGAAGGGACAGTCTGCCGTTTGGGATTTTGTGCGAGGGCGCAGGGATGCGGTCCGCATGGATGGGTGGGCGTGTAAACAGGGAGCGAACCTGCCTTTTGAGTGAGTCTAGGTCCGTGGTCAGCAAACTGCAGCTCGCGAGCCACATTGTGGCTCTTTGGCCCCTTGAGTGTGGCTCTCCCACAAAATACCACGGCCCGAGCGAGTCTATTTCGACGAAGTGGCATTAGAAGAAGTTTAAGTTTAAAAATCTGGCTCTCAAAAGAAATTTCCATCGTCGCACTGTTGATATTCGGCTCTGTGGACCAATGAGTTTGCCGACCACGGGTCTAGGTCTTTTTATCACTGGCTGGTGGTAAGCCCCAGCTCCCGTCTTTCTCTTCTCCATCTCCCTGCATCCTGTAACCTCGGACAGGCTGGGATTGGAGCAGGTGCCCTTCTTGCACCACCCCTTGTTCCTCTGTACACTGTCCATCCTCTTCACTGCTCGTCCCCCCCTATGCCCACCCCCCCAGCATCCTCCCCAGCAGCAGAGAGAACCTGGGCTGATGGTGCCCTCCTCACTCACGTGTGGGCACTGCCCTGCACACTCCCTCTTCCCTGTCCCTGCCCTTCCACGCGCTTGCTCAGCAGTCACTCCAGCCCCGGGCAGGGGGAGTGCCTTTGTTTCCGCCCTCAGCCTCTGCTCCCAATCCTGCCGGGCCCTGACCGCCCCTCTCCCTCTGCACAGTGTCCACGGGCTCCGTGACGCAGGTGTCCTCGGTGAGCACGGACTCCGCTGGCTCCTCGTACTCCATCAGCGGCATCCTGGGCATCACGTCCCCCAGCGCCGACACCAACAAGCGTAAGAGAGATGAAGGTAAGAGATGCGGGCACAGCCCTGACTGGGACAGCCGGCCGGGATCTGCTCCAGGGCTCTCAGTCCCAGGGTGGAAGCAGAGATGCCCGCTGAGCACCCAAGTCTCCCCACCCAGGCCCAGGCCCTTCCCTGGACATGGAGACACAGGGAGGGGCAGGCCTGGGGCTGTGAATTTCTCGCTGGCCTCCCCCTATCTTTACCCGTTGCATGGAGAGAGGCGTGTCTGGCAGAGCCCTGTGAGCTGAGCTTTGAGCCTTTAGGAAGACCTGGCGTGTCCACATACGAAGCAGGGTGTGAGCACAATACGGGTCCCCTTGGTGAGGGAGCCCAGGAGGAGAGGGAGGGGCTGGTGTCCTGCAGTGAGAGGGGTACACAGAGGTCAGCTGCGGTCGGGGGTGGGTGTGGTGATGGTGGGGGCTGAGGAAGTGAATGATCATCTCATCTCTGCCCGGGGCCGGGAGGAAGGCGTGCAGGGGCCTCCCGGGGATACAAAGAGGACCGTCTTCCCGCTGGTTTCCTCAGCCCCTCATTGCTGCCAGCTGGGCTTCTAGGGCTGCCCCGTCCTGGACACTGGTCCACCTTCACCCGGCTCTCCTTTGCCCTGGATGGGCTGCCAGCACTGCTGACATCATGGGTTTGAGAGGAAAAGCGACCCTCTGGGAGTCTGTGAAGCCTTAATCAGGAAAGGAAAAAAACAAAACAAAACAAACAAACAAACAAAAACGGGCCTTGGTCTGGGACCTGGGAGCAGCATGACAGAAATCTTGATTCAATTATTCTGTTCCTCGGCACGATTCCCATTCGCAGCTCCCTGTAAGGGATGTGTGTTCCGGCGAGCACATGCCTCAGTACTTAAGATCTGTAACTAGAAAATTGAGTCGGCCCGGCAGTGGATTGGCCTGTGGTCTGCGTGTTCCAGGCACTGCAGGAGCCGAGTCTGTGGCTGCTGTTCAGAGCTGCGGTGTGTGTGTGTGTGTGTGTGTGTGTGTGTGTCGGGGGATGAGTCCCGGCTCTGGGAAGCTGCCTCCCGTCTTTCCTGCTCCTGTCCCTCAGAGCCCATGTCGTCAGCTCGGTGGGTGGCTGTGCCGTGTCATTGCAGGAGGCAGCAGGCTCCACCATCTCTGCTGGTTTATGGGGTTGAAGGTGCCATCTTCTCTCCTATTGTCACCTGGACTCAGAGCAGATGTGCCCACGCTGGAGCCGGGCTGTGTTTGATCGAGGTGGATGGGCCAGCTGGGTACAGCTCTCTCAGAGAGAGCCAGGCAGAGATTTTTGGAGGAAGAAAAAAAAAAATCTAGTTTGATGTCCTGATTTTGGGGGAATTGTCTTACTGTGAATTTGTGCTGGATTCTAGTCTCTGATCAGAGGTCAGTGTTTAGCCTTGGAAACTGCTTTAAAGGGTGTAGAATGACCGGCATTTGGGCATTGTTAGTGTAGACTGCTCTGTGCTGGTCACATCATTCTGAAGGACTGGGACCATTTGGGGTATTGGCCTTGAATGGGGATAGTGACAAATTAGGATGTCCAGAGGGGTGCACCCTGGATGGAGGGGGATCCGGAGACTCCTCAAAGCTCTAGGGATGTTTTGGCGCAAAGAAGAGAAGAATGAACTGAATTGGATTGTTTCCTTCAGAATTTGGAGGGCTGACACGAAAGGCAAGAGCAATGAGACTTCGCTGTGTGGCCTCAAAGGCCAGCGTGCGGCAGATGCAGAGATTTCAGCTTAGGATTAAAAAGGACTTTGTAAATATGAGAGTGGTCTAGGGCAAGAAGGGGCTGCCGTGGGAGGTAGTGAGCTTCTTGTCACCAGAATAATGTAAGTAGAGCCTGGGTGGCCACTCACCGGGCTGCTGTATAATAGTATTAGGAACCTAGTGCAGGATTGGATGATCTTTGAGCTCCTCCTGGTTTTGAAATTTATGATTGAGCCCTGATGCCCAGGAGGACTTGGGGGTCAGTGCTCTGGGGGCTGAGGGAGAGTGATATGACGGTCTTGGAAGCTTATAGGAAAGCGGACCGGCACACCGGCCCCCTACCCATGCCCTGCATCAGGGAAAGTGTTTATGGTTGAGCAGAGAGGTGGGGCAGGAGTGCCCTTGTTCACATCAGCAAGCTGTCTGGAAGGAGTACTGCCTAGTGCTCCCCACTGCTCTCTCCCCAATGCATTCTGCACCTCCTGGATCCTTGCATTGATTGCAGGGAGAGTTGAAGAAGCAGAGATTGCTGGTCACATTTTATAGGGGAGGAAACTGAGGCCCAGGGAGTTTCTTGAAGTTGGCAAAGCCATCGGCTCACATGAGCTCGGGGGTTAGGAGGAGCTGGAGAGCCAGGAGGCCTCAGCCCCAGGCATTGTCTGGCCACCTGCTGCCCCTCCCCACTCCAGAGAGGTGCTTTGCCTCCAGGAGGAGTTTCCAGCAGAAGGGCATGGTCAGTGTGGTGAGAAAGTAAGAACCAGCCATTGGGGAAGCACAGAGGGGATTGCCAGGTGCACTGGAGGGCTGGCCCACTGGGACAGCAGACCATGGCACCATTTTTCTCAGGAGACCTCAGCCGCCTGGGGGAAGGGCCGTGGGGCAAAAAAGACATTAAGGAGCAAGAGGAAGACTACTGAGTGTCCTCACCCCCATTTCTCAGAGGAGGTGCCTGGGGCTCGCTCTGCAAGGTAGAGTCAGTAGTTCAGCTCTGGTTTGCAGGCATCTCCAACTTGGACTTGGGTGTTGCCCTGGGGGCATTTCCTGGTGCCACTCTCTGCCCAGGCCACTGGGCATGGGTGGATGGTAATAGAATCCAGTCACAGAAGGCCTGCACTCTAGAGCTCACAGGCTGGTACAGAAGGCTGGCAAACCCAAAGCCCCTTCAGTGTGTAATATTCGATGGGGTGAGGGGGGAGATGACACCCGGAGAGCAAGGCGGGGAGGGGCCAATTTTGACCAAAAGGATCTGGAAATGCTCTTTAGAGGAAGTGGCACTTGACTGAGAAAATAATAGTTTCCACTGCTTCTGTTGTTAAATATAAATGAATTAAAGTCCAGTAAAACTGGAAATGTAGTTTCCCAGTTGCACTAGCCACATGCTAAATGCTCAGTCGCCCCCTGTAGCCGGTGGCTGCTGTATTGGACAACATGGCTGGACTACACGTGTGGGACACGTCGTAGATGCTCCTTGATGCAGTGGACCAGCCAATGTCTGTAGAGGGCTAAAGGCAGCTACAGGGAGGCAGAGAATGGCTCAGTGCAAGGACAACTTCCGTCTCTTAGTTGGGCTGAACTGAGAGCTTTTGTGGGGAGGGCGGTGGGTGGGCCTCAGGGATCCAGCTGGGCTAGGGGGACCGAGCTGAGGCGGTGCCTCCCTCCCCGGAAGGCCCGGAGGAGGAGGAGGTGGTGGGGCTGGACTTGGCAGAGCAGCCATGGGTGAAAGGGCAGCCCTAGACCCTCTGTTTCTTCCTGGGCCTTTGATCTCTGGTGGGGCCTCCTTCTGCCTGTCTCCGGGGCCCCCATTCAGCTCCCCTCGACTCCCCTCCCCACCTCTCCCCCGAGTTTGAAAGGCCTCGGACACAGCGAGGTCAGCGGAGTGCGAATCCCTTTCAGGAGCTCAGAAAGCCGCAGGCCCAGCAGCCATGTGGGCTCGGAGATGGGAGCTTCCTGTTGGCGATGGAGGGTGCTGGCAGGTGGCGTTTCCCACCTCCCGGGCCCCGGGCTGCCCTCTGCCTGACGGGGCAAGGGAAGGGCAGCCCAGACCCAGAATGGCCTGTCCTTGACAAGTGAAGCCAAGTCCCATGAGACCCTCCTGGGAGGTTTGGGGGCATTTAACAGGGGCTCCTGTCGTGACCCTGCATCCCTCTTTGTGGGGGTGTCTGTCTTCTCACGTCTTTTGTTTGGGGGTGCACCTCCTCCAGTGTTATCTGCCTCTGTTTATGATTTGTGTGTTGAGACTTCCTTTTTATCTGCTTCTGTCTCCTGATCTAGTGTTCTCTCCTCTCTCTCTCTCTCTCCTCTCTCTCTCTCTCTCTCTCTCTCTCTCTCTCTCTCTCTCTCTCTCTCTCTCTCTCTCTCATTCACTATCTCTTTCTCTTTGTATTCACTCTTGCTCTCTTACCACCTCCCTTCTTCCAGGCTGGGAGCCCATCTCAGCCCTGCCCTGCAGACCTCCACGGAGCCATCGTGGGGGAGGGAAGAAGTTTCAAAAACTCACAGACCAGTCAGGGTCCAGGCTCTCCTGACTGTGGGCAGGCCTGGCCTTCCTTTCTTAGGGCCCTCTTTGCTGGACACTCAGGGCTAGTCTGCTGCTCTGGGCTCTGGACTCTGGGCCGAAGGCTGGTGCAGACCCTTCTCGGTTCCCCAGAGGGAGGGGGGTGGGAGCTCCCATCATTGGAGGTGTGAGCGGGGGCAGGAGAGCCGTGGGAGGCATTCAGGATGGGGCTCCGTGACTTCTGAGGGCGGCGCTTCCAAACTGCCCTCTGCCTGGAAGGGGCTCTGCCCACTTGTCTTTCCCTCCTGCCACCCGCATCTGCCTGCGCCAGGAACTGTGAGCAGCCCACGTGGCAGCAGGGGTCCATAGACCTCTGCTTTCTGGAGAGCCCAGAGCAAGGTGCTGAGGTGCCTGGACAAGACTTGGGCTCACAGGCCAGGGATGAACTGGTTTGAGGACTTGCTGTGATGAAACCTTTGGCGTGTCACTTCATCTCCCGGAGCCTCCCTCCCTTTTGTCTTGGAAATCAGAGGTGGCACCGGTTTTATGGGTTCCTGTGAGGATAACATAGCGTCACTCCCAGGAAGGGATTAGCCCCAGGGCCTGCTGGCAGGTGGTAAGCATGTAATAAATGGCCACGGAAGGAGACTGTGAGGCTAGTCCCCTGGCTGAGGGCAAGCAGGTTCCAGCTAGAGTTCTATTTGGCAGCTGAAACTGGCTCATCTGCCCACCCCCGACTTCCTGTTTGTAACAGCCTCCTGCTGTGGGCATCAGGACTGAACAACAGTGCCCCCAGGTGTCAGCCGCAAAAC